GGCAAACGTCATCAATATCATGACAGTTAAGGATAAAATAAAATAAAATAAAATAAAATAAAACAAAACAAAATAATAAATAAAATAAAATAATAAAATAAAATAAAATAATAAAATAATAAAATAAAATAAAATAAAATAATAAGATAAAATAAAATAAAATAAAATATAAACAAAATAAAAAATAAACAAAACAAAACAAAGCTAGCAGAAGGCAGGACAAGAAACAACGGATGGAAACTAACCAAGGAGAGAAGCAACCTGAAACTAAGGAGAAACTTCCTGACTGTGAGAAGAATTAACAACCAGTGGAACTGCTTGCCACTAGAAGTTGTGGGCGCTCCATCACTGGAGCTTTTTAAGAAGAGACTGGACAGCTATTTGTCTGAGGTGGTCTAGGGCCTCCTGCTTGAGCAGGGGGCTGGACTAGAAGATCTCCAAGGTCCCTTCCAACTCTATTCAATTCTAACATTCTAAACAACTGGGGAGATCTCCAGTGCTCTGCACCACAAAACACCTGGGCCCATTTCAGCCCAGGAAGAGTGAAGGTGACCCAGGTGTGTATGCAATTCTAGATCAGTCTCCTGCCCCCTACCTTCCTGCCTCCTGCCCCCTACCTTCCCTGTGGGGCTGAGTTGAGCCCCGATGCCTGGCTTACCTGGTCTTTCCTCTCCGCAGACAGGCGTCCCAACACGAACTGGCCGAGCGACTGGTGGAGTGCCAGTATGAGCTGACCGACCGACTGGCCTTCTACCTTTGTGGGCGCAAGCCAGGTAAGGGAATGGCTGCCCGAGGGGGCCTAAGGGGGTCTTGACTGGGTACGCAGAGCAGTTTGGGGAGGAGAATATTCGTAGCTCAGGGTTGAAATGAGGGGTCCTTGGAGCTCTCTCAGCTCGGTGGGTTTCTTATAGACCCGTGATGGCGAATCTATGGCACACGTGCCGCAGGTGGCATGCAGTGCCCTCTCTGTGGCCCCAGTTCAGCTCCAACATGCATGCGCACAGACGCCTCCAGCTGGCCAGCTGGTCGTCAGGTCTCTGCCGCGAATGGGGGGGGGCACATGCACGTGTGCATGCACGGGGGAATGCGGGGAGTGTGCAGAAAAGGTTAGCCATCGCTGTTCTAGACGTTTCATGACCCAACTAGGTAACATCATCAGTGCTAGAGGGAACGGGGTTTGCAGAGAGGAGGAGGGGAGGAAGAGGAGAAGGAGGAGAAGAAGGATGAGGACGGGAGGACAAGGAGGAGGAAGAGGAGAAGGAGGAGAAGAAGGAGGGGGAGTAGGACGAGGAGGGGGGGGGACGAGGAGAAGGAAGAAGAGAAAGAGGAGGAGAAGGAGGAGGAGGAGGAGGGGGAAGGACGAGGAGGAGGGAGGACGAGGAGGAGGAAGAGGAGAAGGAGGAGAAGAAGGAGGAGGGGGGAGGAGGAAGAGGAGAAGGAGGAGGAGGGGAGGACGAGGGAGGAGGAGGAAGAGGAGAAGGAAGAAGAGAAGAAGGAGGAGGGGGAGGATGAGACAGGGGAGGATGAGGTGGAGGAAGAGGAGAAGGAGGAGAAGAAGGAGGAGGGGGAGGACGAGGAGGAGGAAAAGGAGAAGGAGGAGAAGAAGGAGGATGGGGAGGATGAGGAGGGGGAGGATGAGGAGGAGGAAGAGGAGAAGGAGGAGAAGAAGGAGGAGGGGGCAGGACGAGGAGGAGGAAGGAGGAGGAGAAGAAGGAGGAGGGGGGAGGACGAGGAGAAGAGAAGGAGGAAAAGAAGAAGGAGGGGGAGGAGGGGGAGGAGGAGGAAGAGAAGAAGGAGGAAGAGGAGAAGGAGGAGGAGAAGAAGGAGGAGGGGGAGAACGAGGAGAAGGAAGAAGAGAAGGAGGAAAAGAAGAAGGAGGGGGAGGAGGGGGAGGAGGAGGAAGAGGAGAAGGAGGAAGAGAAGAAGGAGGAGGGGGAGGATGAGACAGGGAGGACGAGGTGGAGGAAGAGGAGAAGGAGGGGAAGGAGGAGGGGGGAGGACGAGGAGGAGGAAGAGGAGAAGAAGGAGGAGGGGGAGGATGAAGAGAGGGGAGGACGAGGTGGAGGAAGAGGAGAAGGAGGGGAAGGAGGAGGGGGGAGGACGAGGAGGAGGAAGAGGAGAAGGAGGAGAAAAAGGAGGAGGGGGAGGACGAGGAGGGAGGAGAAGGAGGAGGGGGGAGGATGAGGAGGGGGAGGACGAGGAGAAGGAAGAAGAGGAGAAGGAAGAGAAGAAAGAGGAGGAGGGGGGAGGAGGAGGGGAGGAGGAGGAGGGGGAAGAGGAGAAGGAGAAGAAGAGGAGGGGGAGGACAAGGAGAAGGAAGAAGAGAAGGCGGAGGAGAAGGAGGAGGAGGGGGAGATGACTGTGGGCTCCTTGGTGCTCTCTGAGCTTGGGGGTTTTCTTGCAGACTTTCCATGACCCAACTAGGGAACATCCTCAGTGTGAAAGGGAGTTGGGTGTGTGGAGAGGGGGAGGGGGAGGTTGTGGGGTCCTTGGTGCTCTCTGAGCTCGATAGTTAATGTATAAAGTATTGATCAGATTGGCTCAGCCATGTTTTTTCCCTGCCTTTTCATGCAGATCACAAGAACGGGCATTACATCATTCCCCAGATGGCAGACAGGTAAGAGCTCCCCCTCCCCTTTAACTCCCCCCCTCCCTTCCTGCCCCTTTAAGGGAGGAAATGCTGCCCCCTCGTGGCCATTCTCGGCCGGGCATCGCCCTTCTGGGATCCTGCCCAAAAACAGACTTTTCTCTTGGCTGCCGGGAATTCCTTTTTAACAACAACAAAAAAGTGGCTTTTTAAAAAATCTCCTCCAACCACATCAGAAATAATCTGTCCTAAAGTGAGAATGACCTTCGTGCATTAATCGATTTACCTTTTTTTCCCCCTGCTTTGCATTAAAAGAAGTCTTGAAGTCAGATTCAGTAAGGCAGAACGTTGTACAATATTGCGGGAAAGTAAAATTATAGCCAATGAATTGCAATTTATTGGTTACTCCTGTAGAAGAGTTTGAAGCATTTATATATACAGGCAGTCCTCGACTTATGACCAGAATGGGTCCCCAAATTTTTGTTGTTTTTAGAAAATTACCCACCTGAGTGCATGTTAATTACAAGTCTCCAAATTTCCATTACTAAGCAAGATGATTTTTCATTGAACTTTGTCCCCATTTTACGACCTTACCTGCCACCGTTGCTAAGCGAATCAACTCAATTGTTAAGTGAATAACAACCTGGTTGTTAAGTGAATCTGGCTTCCCCCATTGACTTTGGAAGGTCGCCAAAGGGGGGGGACATGTGACCCCCCCCGGAACGCTGCAACCGTCATAAATACGAGTCAGTTGCCTAGCGTCTGAATTTGGATCACGTGACTAGTCGGAATGATGCAACGGTCGTAAGCGTGAAAAATGGTCATAAGTCGCTTTTTTCCCACTGCCGTTGTAATTTTGAATCTTCACTAAATGAAGTTGTAAGTCGAGGACTACCTGTGTATATATATTTTTTACAGAAAACACTTTTGTTTCTATGTTTTCAGGGGGATTGGAGAGTAAAATCCCTCTGTGTAATCTAGTGGACTTCAATTCCCAGAATTCCTGCTGGCTCAGGAATTCTGGGAGTTGAAGTCCATCCTTCTTAAAGGTACCAAGGTTGAAAAACATCGCTGTAGTGAATATGAAATGTTGCAGCTTTTCTAGGATTTAGTATCCCCAAATTCTTTTGCAATTTGGGGAGATGAAGTCCACACGCGTTCTCAGAATCCAGGTTGTCCTCGACTTACAACAGTTCATTTAGTGACCATTCAAAGTTGCATCGCTGGGCAATAACCATACTGAATTCTACGGAATAGTAGTGCAATGTCGGAGTTTTCAATTTAAATTATATATAGAATGTAAAGGATGTACGTTTGTGTTTTTATTTTTATGGTTATAATGTACGCTGAAGACGGGATTTAATTTCGTTGTGCCACGTGCAACGACAATAAAGTAAACTATACTATACTGAAAAAAGCGACTTACGACCATTTTTCACACTTACGACCGTTGCAGCCTCCTCATCGTGTGATTAAAAATTCAGACTCTTGGCAACTGACTCACATTTATGACCTTTGCAGGGTCCAGGGGTCAAATGATCCCTTTTTGCGACCTTCTGACGAGCAACGTCACTGGGGAAAAGCCAGATTCATTTAACAACCGTGCGACTCACATAACAACTGCAGTGTTTCACTTAGAACAAGGTGGGAAGACAGGTTGTAAAATGGGGCAAATCTCAGTCAAATTGCAGTTGTAAGTTGAGGACCCCTTGTCCCTTAAAGCAGAAAATTCTGCTTGTTCGCTTAGTGAATCTGGAAAGGCCGAGTCTAAAGTCTGTTTTAGATATCAGCAAACCTATTTGGAACTCCCCAAATGAACACTGGTTAAGTTTTGGTGATATTATAGCTAATCCTCAACTTATGACCATAATCGAGCCCCAAATTTATGTTGCTAAGCGAGACAGTTGTCGAGTGATTTTTGGCAGATTCGCCACAGTTATTAAGTGAAACCCTGCAGTGGTTCAGTGAGTCACACGGTTGTTAAGTGAATCCGGCTTCCCCAGTGGATCACAGTGGCTGTTCCTGAGCTGTTGCTAAATGAGTTTTGCCCCTTTTTACGACCTTTCTTGCCAGGGTTGTTAAGTGAATCACTGCGGTTGTTAAGTGAGAAACACGGTTGTTAAGTGAATCCAGCTTCCCCAGTGGATCCCAGCGGCTGTCCTTGAGCTGTTGCTAAATGAGTTTTGCCCCTTTTTACGACCTTTCTTACCAGCGTTGTTAAGTGAATCACTGTGGTTGTTAAGTGAGAAACACGGTTGTTAAGTGAATCCGGCTTCCCCAGTGGATCCCAGTGGCTGTTCCTGAGCTGTTGCTAAATGAGTTTTGCCCCTTTTTACGACCTTTCTTGCCAGGGTTGTTAAGTGAATCACTGCGGTTATTAAGTGAGAAACACGGTTGTTAAATGAATCCGGCTTCCCCAGTGGATCCCAGCGGCTATCCCTGAGCTGTTGCTAAATGAGTTTTGCCCCTTTTTTACGACCTTTCTTGCCAGCGTTGTTAAGGGAATCACTGCGGTTGTTAAGTGAGTCACACGGTGGTTGAGTGAGTCTGGTTTCCCGCATGGACACGTACACCCCCAAGAGAGAGATACTGCGACCGTCATAAATATAAAGCCAGCTGCCAAGCGTCTGAATTTGGATCACACGACCAACGGCTGTAAGTGTGAAAAACGGTCGTAGATCACTTTTGTTTTAATTGCCGTTGCAACTTGAAATGGTCACTAAACGAATAGTCGTAAGTTGAGGACTTCCTGTATCTCAGATGCAAGGCACGGACAGAACGGGTTCAAGTTGCATTAGGGCAGTGTTTCTCAACCTTGGCCGCTGGACGATGGGTGGACTTCAACTCCCAGAATTCCCCAGCCAGCTTTGCTGGCTGGGGAATTCTGGGAGTTGAAGTCCACCCATCGTCCAGCGGTCAAAGTTGAGAAACACTGCATTTAGGAGAAGGAAATTGAATTGAAACTGATTGATTGATTGAAGACACGGAAGCCAGCCTGCAATTTTTGGGGAGGGGGTGAGTTGTGGCTGATGCTGTCTCCTCTCCCCCCACCCCCCCCAGCTCTTTCTAACTTCCTCCTCTTTCTTTCCTGCTGCTCTTTACGGAACTCAGAGTGCGCCCCAAATGCATGTCGCAAAGGTACGGAGGGCTCAGCTCTCCCCTGCATGCATCGCCCCGGCCTCCCCCTCCCTGCGCCTCCGCCCCACCCCTCTGTTTTGTGGGGCGGGGGGCCTCGTGCATGTGGGGAAGGGTCTGGAGAAGGGGGAGGCTGGGGCGTGGTCTTCCCGTGCCTTCCGTAATCCCCAAGTTTGATGATGATGATTTACGGATATTTTATTAAATTTATATGCTGCCCAGCTCTCTGTCCAGAGATCTCCCCGGGGGTTAAGGTTACATCCGGGATCCCGGGAGATTTATTTATTTATTTATTTATTTGGTATCCCGCCTTTTTTTGATTTTTACAAAGAAGTCAAGGCGGCGAATAGATCCAACGCACTTTCTTCCTCCTTCTGTTTTTCCCGCAACAACAACCCTGTGAGGTTGGGTTGGGTTGAGAGAGAGAGAGAGAGCGACTGGTCGAAAGTCACCAGCTGGCTTGCATGCCTAAAGTGGGACTAGAACTCCCAATCTCCTGGTGATTGGCCCAAAGTCACCAGCTGTCTTGCATGCCTAAGGCGGGACTAGAACTCCCAATCTCCTGGTGATTGGCCCAAAGTCACCCAGCTGGCTTTCATGCCTAAGGCGGGACTAGAACTCACCCTCTCCTGGTGATTGGCCCAAAGTCACCCAGCTGGCTTTCATGCCTAAAGCGGGACTAGAACTCCCAATCTCCTGGTGATTGGCCCAAAGTCACCCAGCTGGCTTTCATCCCTAAGGTGGGACTAGAACTCCCAATCTCCTGGTGATTGGCCCAAAGTCACCCAGCTGGCTTTCATGACTAAAGCGGGACTAGAACTCCCAATCTCCTGGTGATTGGCCCACCCAGCTGGCTTTCATGCCTAAGGCGGGACTAGAACTCCCAATCTCCTGGTGATTGGCCCACCCAGCTGGCTTTCATGCCTAAGGCGGGACTAGAACTCCCAATCTCCTGGTGATTGGCCCAAAGTCACCCAGCTGGCTTTCATGCCTAAAGCGGGACTAGAACTCCCAATCTCCTGGTGATTGGCCCACCCAGCTGGCTTTCATGCCTAAGGCGGGACTAGAACTCCCAATCTCCTGGTGATTGGCCCACCCAGCTGGCTTTCATGCCTAAGGCAGGACTAGAACTCCCAATCTCCTGGTGATTAGCCCAAAGTCACCTAGTTGGCTTTCATGCCTAAAGCGGGACTAGAACTCCCAATCTCCTGCTTTCTAGCCTGGTACCTCAACCCCTAGACCAAACTGCCTTTCTTTCTCTAAGGGGAGATCTTCCATCTCCGTCCATCGACCCACCAGTGCCTGTTCTTCTTTTCTTCGTTTCCCACCCCTCTAAATAAATGTAGTTGTCTTCCTTCATTGGGGGATCCCAGAGATTTGAACGGTGTTTCTGAGGGCTGATTGAGTCTGGGGGGCATCCAGTGGGGAGGAGCCATGAGGTGGGGGCACTGATGCATCTTTTTCCTGCCCTCCCCTCAGCTTAGATCTTTCGGAGCTGGCCAAGGCGGCAAAGAAGAAGTTGCAGGCGGTAAGTGAGTCGGTTTCGAACTCAAGACCCGGCTCAGGCTGGGCTCTCCTCATGGCCACCTTTCCTTTTTAAAAAAATGTGGGCCAGGTGAAGTTTCTAAGGCAGCGTTTCTCACCTTTGGCTGTTTGAAGTGGAGTGTCAGCACTTCAAGCTGCATTTACTCTAGGGACGTTTGACTTTTCATCTACTTATTTTCCCTGGAGATAATATCCCTAGGAGATGGGATGGGAGGGGGGAAATTCCTTTGAGCTGGAGCGGTAGATTAGGGGTAGAGTGACTTGGAAGATGGCCAATGAGTGCAGAGGAGTGGGGAACGGAAAGGGAGGGTTTTGGGTCTGGAAGTCAGTGTTGGCTGCGATGGAGTCGGATTTTAGAATGTCGTGCTTAATAAATGGAAGTTTTTCATCCATTTGAAATGCAATTTATTTGAGATGACCTCGAAACTGACATGGAGTGGACTTCAATTCCCAGAATTCTACCCCCGGGGGGAATTCTGGGAGTTGAAGTCTGCGCGTCTTCAAGGTGCTAAGTTTGGGAAACGCTGTTCTACCCTCCCTTTCTGCCCATCCACACGTACCCGCCTTCCCTTCCCCGTTCTGCGGGGCAAAATTTAACGCCGGCGTGAATGATCCCTGGAAGGTGGACTTGCAAGGATCCCATAAGATCATCTAGTCTATCCCTCTGCAACGTGCAGAAAAAGAAATTTGACCGGTGTTTCGCTCCCTTGGGAGCCTTCAGATGGGTGGACCTCTGCTCTAGGGGGTATCCCCTCCCCATTTTTAAGTCTGAAAAGGACTTGGGTGTGTAATGGGGAGGGGGACGAGACCCCCATCCCCCCGTGTCACAAAATCCTGCCATTTCTCTTCATTCTGGGAAGTTGCATCCTTGGGAGCGTGTCCTGCCCATCTTGGGAAGGCGCCAGTACCTGCTCCCTGGCACCCAAGCCCACCCCCCCACAGCCAAAGCCCCATGCCCCAAATCCCCTCCCTAAACTAAACAGCAAGCTGAACGTTTCTCCTTCCCCCCCACCCCCAAAAATAGCTGAGCAACCATCTCTTTGAAGAGCTCGCGATGGATGTCTACGACGAAGTGGATCGCCGCGAAAACGACGCCGGTAAAAAAAAAAAAAGCTTGAATCTGTTTTCGGGGACGGGTGAGGGTGGGGGGAGGGCTCTGCTCTTGCAAGGATTAAGGACTAGAAACTTGCAGAGGCTTGCCAAATCCTTCAGCGCCTTCATATGCAGGTTTCTTGGCCAAAGGATGCGCCTCCAAATGGGTGCCCACCAGGCCTGCCTAAACTCCCGGGGCGGCTGGCAGGGAAGGAGGTTGGCGCTTTGGCTAACGGTGGCTTTTTCTTCTCTGCTTCCTCACCCGCCCCCCCCCGAAAGTCTGGCTGACCACACAGAACCACAGCACCCTGGTGACCGAGCGCAGCGCTGTGCCCTTCCTGCCAGTGAACCCCGAATATTCAGCCACACGGAATCAGGTGATTCTCTCTCTTTCTCTTTCTCTCTCCCTATCATCTGTCTGTCTGTCTGTCTATTCTATCTATCATCTATCCATTCTCTCTCTCTCTCTCTCTCTCATCTCTATCTATCATCTATCCATTCTCTCTCTCTCTGTATCTCTCTCTCTCTCTCTTACTCTATCATCTATCTCTCTCTATTTATTTATCTATCTATCATCTATCCATTCTCTCTCTCTCTCTCTCTCTCTGTATCTCTCTCACTCTTTATCTATCTTATCTATCTATCATCTATCCATTCTCTCTCTCTCTCTCTCTCTCTCTCTCTATCTTATCTATCATCTATCCATTCTCTCTCTCTCTCTCTCTCTCTCATCTCTATCTATCATCTATCAATTCTCTCTCTCTCTGTATCTCTCTCTCTCTCTCTTACTCTATCATCTATCTCTCTCTATTTATTTATCTATCTATCATCTATCCATTCTCTCTCTCTCTCTCTCTCTCTGTATCTCTCTCACTCTTTATCTATCTTATCTATCATCATCTATCCATTCTCTCTCTCTGTGTATTTCTCTCTATCATCTATCTCTATTTATTTATTTATTTATTTATTTATTTATTTATCTATCTATCATCTATCCATTCTCTCTCTCTCTGTGTATCTCTCTCTGTCTCTCTGTCTCTCTCTGTGTATCTCTCTCTCTATCATCTCTCTCTATTTATTTATCTATCATCTATCAATTCTCTCTCTCTGTATCTCTCTCTCTATCTTATCTATCATCATCTATCCATTCTCTTTCTCTCTCTGTATCTCTCTCTCTATCATCTCTCTCTATTTATTTATCTATCTATCATCTATCCATTCTCTCTCTCTCTGTGTATCTCTCTCTCGCTCACTCTTACTCTATCATCTACCTCTCTATTTATCTATCTATCATCTATCCACTCTCTCTCTATCTCTCTCTATCATCTATCTATCTCTATTTATTTATCTATCTATCATCTATCCATTCTCTCTGTCTCTGTATCTCTCTCTCTATCATCTATTTATCTCTATCATCTAGCTATCATCTCTATCTATATCCATCTATCATCCTCATCATTATTTTCTATCTGTCATGTCTAACTATCATTTCTCTTTCTCCCTCTTCCTCTCCTTTTCTCTCTCTCTCTGTCTCTTTCTCTCTCTCCACACACACACACATGTATTTCTACCTATGTATCTACCTATCTCTATTTCTCTCTCATTTTTCTGTCTTTCTATTTACATCTCTCTCTTTTCATTATCTCTCTATTATCTATCATTATCTGTCTATCATCTCTATCTACCTATCTATCTACACATACACACACATATCTATCTATCTATCTATCTATCTATCTATCTATCTATCTATCTATCTATCTATCTATCATCTATCTCTATTTATCTCTCACTCATTTTTCTGTCTTTCTGTCTACAGTATCTCTCTCCCTCCCTCCTCCCTCTATTATCTATCATTATCTCTCTACCATTCATCTATCTATCGTGTCTATCTGTCTCTTTCTCTCTCTCCATCATCTTGATTTTTTCGACCACCCTTCACCGACACCCCCGGGAGGCAGGCATGTTTCAATCACGGCTGCTTTTACATTGGGGAAAGTGTGGCAGATCCAGGGCCGGGATTCAAGAGAAGCAGCCTCCTAAAATCCCTATGTAGCCACAAGTGAACTGATTCCAACCTCCTTTGCATTCCGTTGATCGCCATCTAACTCTGGGAGGCCGGTGCTGTCCATGAGTTGAGGAGATCCTGTGCAGGGATCCCTATTGGCCATTAATCCGTTTTAATTAGACGTTCACCATAGGGACCTGATGTTTTGCACCTGATCCTTTATTATGCGCTGCTCTGGCCCACCTGGAGGTGGCTCAGTGGCTAAGATGCTGCGCATGTCGATCAGAAAGGTCGGCAGTTCGGCGGTTCGAATCCCTAGTACGGGTCTCCTGCGTGAGCAGGGGGTTGGACTAGATGACCTCCAGAGTCCCTTCCAACTCTGTTACTGCTACCTCCGTCTCCGCACCACAGACGGATTTTGGCCGCGTGTTCAACGCTGAGCCTTGTGAGCGAAGGTTTGGGGGGGGGGTCTCCATGCTGCTTCTTTCGGTCTGACACCCCCCCTTTTCTCCCTTGCCCCCAGGGGCGGCAGAAGTTGGCCCGTTTCAACGCCCGGGAGTTTGCCACCCTCATCATCGACATCCTGAGTGAGGCCAAGCGACGCCAGCAGGGCAAGGGCCTGATCAGCCCCACTGGTGAGTCCGTGGGAGAGCGGGGGGGGGCTGTGGGCAGAGGGGCATTGGTGTTTGAGGGGGGCTCTTTTCCTGGGGGGGTAACCCCTTGGTTGTTGCTGCAGAGGCCCTCGACTCCTCCGTCCACGGGCCCAGCGACATGGACGACCAACACGACTACGACAGCGTGGCCTCCGATGAGGACACGGACCTCGAGCCCCTGCGGAATGCCAATGCTGGGCGCAACAACCGTGCTCGGGTGAGACCCCAGGAAGGGTGAGGGGTGGGAGGGAGGGAGAGAGGAGATAATTCCTGACAGGGAGAGCAATTAATCAGTGGAACGACCTGCCACTTGATGTTGTGGATGCTTCATCCCTGGAGAAACATTTGTCTGGAATTCTTAACAGTCTCCTGCTTGAGACTAGAAGACCTCTAAGGTCCCTTCCAACTCGGTTATTTTATAGGGAGGGAGGAAGATGGGAGGAAGGGAGAAAGGAGATAATTCCTGACAGTGACAGCAATTAATCAGTGGAACCACCTGCCACCAGAAGTTGTGTGGGCTCCAACACTGGAGGATTTTAAGAAGAGACTAGACGGGCATATGCCTGGAATAGTGTAGGGTTTCCTGCAGGGGGTTGGACTAGAAGACCTCCAAGGTCCCTTCCAACTCTTGTTATTTTATAGGAAGGGAGGAGGAAGATGGGAGGAATAGAGGGAAAGGAACGAAAAAGATAAAGAGAGAGATAGAAAGAAGAGACAGAGAGAAAGAAGGGAGGGAGGGAAGGAAGGAAAATGGGAGGAAGATGAGAAGAAGGAATAGAAAGAGAAGGGGAGGGAAGGAAGGAAGGGAAGGGAAGAAAAGGGGAGGGGAGGGGAGGAGGAAGGAAAGGGAAAGGAAAGAGGAAGGACGGGAAGGAAGGAAAATGGGAGAAAGGAAGGGAAGGAACAGAAAGGAAAGGAAAGGAGGGAAGGGGAGGGGAGGAGAGGGAAAGAGGGAGGGAGGGTGGAAAGGAAGGAAGGAAGGAGGAAGGAAGGAATAGAGGGAAAGGAACGAAAAAGATAAAGAGAGAGACAGAAAGAAGAGACAGAGAGAAAGAAGGGAGGGAAGGAAGGAAAATGGGAGGAAGATAAGGAATAGAAAGAGAAGGGGAGGGAAGGAAGAAAGGGAAGGAAAGAAAAGGGAAGGGGAGGGGAGGAGGAAGGAAAGGGAAGGCAAAGAGGAAGGAAGGGAAGGAAGGAATGGGAGAAAGGAAGGGAAGGAAAAGAAAGGAAAGGAAAGGAAGGAAGGGAAGGAAGGAAAATGGGAGAAAGGAAGGGAAGGAAAAGAAAGGAAAGGAAAGGAGGGAAGGGGAGGGAAAGAGGGAGGGTGGGAAGGAAGGAAGGAAGGAAGGAAGGAAGGAAGGAAGGAAGGAAGGAAGGAAGGAAGGAAGGAAGGAAGGAAAGGACCACCTTCTGCCAGGGGGCAGACTCCTCTGGTCTCCATGGAAGAGTCAATGGTGCACCTTCCGTTCATCTCAGAGCAAATCCAAACTGACCCCCTCCTCCTCTCCGCCCCCCTCCCCTCCCCCAGAGCATGGACTCCTCCGACCTCTCGGACGGGGCCATCACCCTGCAGGAGTACCTGGAAGTGAAGAAGGCGCTGGCCGTCTCCGAAGCCAAAGTCCAGCAACTCATGAAGGTGAACAACAGCCTGAGCGACGAGTTGCGGCGGCTGCAGAGAGAGGCAAGTCACCTTTTTGGGGGGGGGGGGGGGCAGCAGAAGCCCCCTCCCCTCCCACTCCTGGGACCCTGGCATGGCCACTCTAGGAGCTGGTGGGCATGGAGGGGGGGGTTTAGCGTTTGTGGGGGGCATCTGAATAGGGAAGCCTGTTTGTAGTTCTCACTTAACGACCTGTTGCCTAATGACCAGAGTTATGACGGGCCTCCACTTCCGGTTTATGACCTTGTTTCGGAGTTCTGACAGCCATTTTCCAGCAAAAAAAAAAAAATAATAATTGAAGAAGACGGATTTGCTTAACGACCAATTCATTCACTTAACAACCAGTCCTCTGATTTATGACCCAGTTTTGGAGTTCTGACAGCCATTTTCCAGCAAAAAAAAAAACCAAGTCATTGAAGAAGACGGATTCGCTTAACGACCAAGCTATTCACTTAGCAACTGCTTGAAAGAAAGATCATAAATGGGGCACAATCACCTGGTGACCGATTTAACCACCTGGTGGCTGGGGAATTCTGGGAATTGAAGTGCACTCCTCTCAAAGTTGCTAAGATTGAGAAACACTGCTCTATAGGTAGTCCTCGACTTACAACCATTTGTTTAGTGACCATTCGAAGTTACAATGGCATTGAAAAAGGCGACGTATGACCGGTTTTCACACTTATGACCATTGCTGCATCCCCGTGGTCATGTGATCAAAATTCAGCCGCTTGGCAGCTGACTCGTATTTATGACGGTTGCAGCATCCCGGAGTCACGTGATCCCCTCTTGCGACGAGCAAAGTCCATGGGGAAGCCAGATTCACTTAACAACCGTGTTGCTAACTTAACAACGGCAGTGATTTGCTTAGCAGCTATGTCTCACTTAGCAACAGAAATTTTAGGCTCAATTGTCATAAACCGAGGACTGTTTGTCATGGCTGATACGCCACACACTCCTGTTTGCAACCAGACGAGAGAAACGGGGAGGGGAGGAGGGAGAGTATTGGAGGGAATTGAAGGAATGCAAGTGAGTCCCAACATCCCAAGGTCAAAGGCTGGGAAAACCCAGCTGCTCAGATCGTTCCCAAAACAAAATGAAGGCAGTTGATTGGCGGACAATCCACCGTGGGGACGAAGCAAACAAAATGTTAAAAAGTTATGATATTTATGTAGTTACTTACCAAGCACGTCTAAATTATATTAAGGTAACCAAAATACCTTTGCAATCCCCAAGGCAGGTCACAACTTTTGAGCACCCCTAAGGTTTGGAAAGTGAAAGTCAAAAAATTTTGACGCGCCCTAAGAGGTCCAGGGGGAAAAGCGGGATTTGAACTACGCTGGTTTTCGCGCGAAAAAAAATTAGAGCTGGCTTTGCTACTTCTGTGCCTGTGTGGGATTATCGGCAAAGTTCTACGCTTGGCGGAATGAGGTCCCAGGAGTTCCTTTGGCTGCTCTTACCAACGGGACGGTTGACACGAAAAGCTGCTTAGGTCCCTGCGAGCCTAGCCTCCTCTGCGTTGGTGGGGTCATCGATGCCCGAAAATTCAAATTTTGAACTCTCTCAACTGAGCAGATGCCCTTTCCTCACCTAAGGGGTCACCTTCCTCCCCACCACACTTCCTGGAGACCCCCTAAGTAGCCCCCAACTCAAACAGGCTCTTGGACAGTTCTTCTGCTCTTGTGAATCTTTGTGATTCTGTTGAATTTTTATGAATTCTGATGATTCCTATGAATTCTGATGATCCTTATGAATTCTGATGATTCTTATGAATCCTTATGAATCCTTGATTCTGGTGAATTCTTGTGATTCTGGTGAATTCTGATGATTCTTATTAATTGTGATTCTTGTGAATTCTTTTGATTGTTATGACTTGTGATTCTTGTGAAGTCTGATGATTCTTATGAATTCTGATGATCCTTATGAATTCTGATGATTCTTATGAATTCTTGTGATTCTTATGAATTCTGATGATTCTTATGAATTCTGATGATTCTTATGAATTCTGATGATTCTTACGAATTCTTGTGATTCTTACAAATGCTTTTGATTCCTGTGATTCTTATGAATCCTTATGAATTCTTGATTCTGGTAAATTCTTGTGATTCTGCTGAATTCTTATGATTCTTATTAATTGTGATTCTTGTGAATTCTTGTGATTGTTATGAATTGTGATTCTTGTGAATTCTGTGATTCTTATGAATTTTTATGAATTCTGATGATTCTTATGAATTGTGATTCTTATGAATTCTGATGATTCTTATGAATTGTGATTCTTATGAATTCTGTTGATTCTTATGAATTGTGATTCTTGTGAATTGTGATGATTCTTATGAATTGTGATGATTCTTATGAATTGTGATTCTTGTGATTCTGATGAATTCTGATGATTCTTATGAATTCTGATGATTCTTATGAATTGTGCTTCTTGTGATTCTGATGAATTCTGATGATTCTTATGAATGCCTTTGATTCTTGTGATTCTTATGAATTCTTGTTATTTTTATGAATTCTTGTGATTCTTATGAATTCTTGTGAATTCTTTCAGATTCATAAGCTGCAGTCAGAGAACTTGCAGATCCGTCAGCAAGCAGGGCCCGTCCACCCGGCGGCCCCCACACCTACCGAGCGCCCCGAGCACAGCCACGCGCCCTCTGCCGTAACCGGAGCCCACCGGCGCGACCGCCACGCCTTCTCCATGTACGAGCCGGGCGCCAGCCCGCTCAAGCCCTTCAGCCAGCCGCCCATGGACGACTTGGTTAGCCGCCTGCAACCCTTCCACCCCGGGGTGAGTGTGCCTGCGGATCGTGGCTTGGGGGGGTTGAGCCGAACCTGTGGGTCTACGCGGCTGTTTAGCATTGGGCAAGTGGAGGTTGCAAAGTTTTTGAAGGAGGAAAAACGGCAGATGGCCATAGCTGCACAGATCGCGAAGAAGCGTGCAAGAAGTTGTGCACGGATCAAGGAAAAGTGTGACATAACACAGACTTGTTTTCGCTGTTCCAGGAATCGGAGGAAGACGGGATGTATTCCGTCCACAGCCAACCCAACATTTACCGAGTAAGTAAGTTTCCGGAGGAGACGGAACAGGCCCTGCCTTGCGTGTCTTCCTCTCTCTCTGGCTGCCCACTTTGGGGGTTTCCAAGACCCCCACCCCACCAGGGGATTTCCCCACTGCCCAGCCCTTGGTAAACCCAGCTGACCGAGCCTCCCTTCTTTTGGCCTTTCAGATCCGGAAGGGGGGCTCCATTTCGGCCATGCCGTTCCCTCCGTCGTCTTCTCCGTTGGTGGTGGGTCCGCCGGAGGGCAGCGGGCGCCACTTGGTGAGTGGAGGCAGCCTGCATTGGTAGGGGGCAGAGGGGGGGGGTCTTAGGAGCACATAAGGAAGGAGGGAGGGAGGGAGGATTAAGTCATAATTGTGAAAAACAATTATGAGAAAAGGAACAGGAAGGAGGGAAGGAAAGGAAGGGAGGGAGGGAGGAAGGAAGGAGGAAAGGAATGGATAGAGGGAAAGAGGAGAAAAGGGACACAGAAAGAAGAGGAAGGGAGGAAGGAAGGAAGGGAAGAGGGAAGGAAGGAAGGAAGGAGTCATTAGTGTGAAAAACAATTATAAGGAGAATACGAAGGAGAAGGAGGGAGGGGGAAAGGAAGGAATAGATGGAAAGAGAACAAAAGAGACAGGGAAAGAAGAAGTGAGGGAGGAAGGGAGGAAGGAAGGAAGGAAGAAATGTCATAAGTGTGAAAAACATGAAGGAAAAGAAGGAAGGAAGGAAAGGAAGGAAGGAAAGGAAGGAAGGAAGGAAGGAAGGAAGGAAGGAAGGACAAGAAAAGAGAAATACTTCGTCCATTTGGGGACAAAACTAATTTCTGGGGAGGCCTTGGTTGTTTGCTCTGGGACTGTGTTGCCATGGTGGAAACCCCCAGTGGCCCCCCCCCCCTCACAGCAAAGTGAATTTTCCCATAAACCCCTGCAGATGTCAGGATTCACTTCCGGGAAGCCCCTCCCCTTCAGATGGCTCTGGGCAGTGGAGTCCACCTAAGTCACCCCGTGAAACTCAATTTGCAAGCCTCCCAGCCCCCTCCCCATGCAACCACCCCCAATTCCATGGGCTGATTTCCCCCCCCCCTCTTTCTCCATCCTCCCCAGAGTGGGAAACTGGACCGGCACGGCAGCGGCACCGACAGCGACTACGACAACACGCAGGGAGGCGACCTGCCCCTTAGGTGAGCCGGCTCTCACCTGTCGAGGGGGGGGAGGGGGGGGCTGTCCGATTCCGTTCTGTGCTGGGGAGGGGAGGGGGCTCTGCAGACACTCTGCCGGGGGGGGGAGAGATCATCCAAACTTTGCTTTTGGCTTGAGATTTGACTTACTGACTCATTGATTATTGATTGATCGATTGATCACTTATTGACTTATTGATTTATTTATTGACTTATTAACTTATTGACTTATTGACATTGATCAAACTTCTTAAACTCCCATTTCCCTCGTAAAGGGTCTCTTTACAGTTTACAATTAAATTGCTAAAATATTAAAAAACCCAATACAGGTAGTCCTCGACTTACAACACTTCATGTAGTGTCCGTTCAAAGTTACAATGGCACTGAAAAAAGGGACGTACGACCGTTTTCACGCTTACGATCTTTGCAGCCTCCCCATGGGTGTCACGGAATAAAAATTCAGACCTTTGGCAACTGACTCATATTTATGACCGTCGCAGTGTCCCAAGGTCACGTGATCCCGTTTTGCGACCTTCTGACCAGCGAAGTCCACGGGATAGCCAGATTCGCTTAACAACGTGTCACTAACTTAACAGCAGTCATTCACTTAACAATTGTGACCAGAAAGGGAGAAAACTCACTTAACAAATGTCTCACTTAAGAACAGAAATTTGGGGTTCAATTGTGGCCGCACGTCGAGGACTACCTGCAATTTAAGATTTAAAAAAAATTAAAATAAAATGTAAAACAGCCTGATAACGTTACCCCCAAAATGTAATTTTTTGGGTTGATTTTATGGTTGGTTTTAAAATTTGATATTGATTTTAATTGAAATGTTTTAAATTATGGGCCAAATTTTATTTAATTATTTTAAATCTATTTTAACTTTTGTGTATGAATGTTTTATATTTGGCTGTTTACCGCCCTGAGTCAGTAAGGAGAAGGGCGGTATAGAAATCTGAAAAATGAATGAATGAATGAATGAATGAATGAATGAATGAATGAATGAATGAATGAATGAATAAATAAATAAATAAATAAATAAATAAATAAATAAATAAATAAATTTTTAGTGAGAGATTCGCACCCTTCTCCCCCGTGGTTGAGGCAAGGGAGGGAGGACTCACTCGAGGTGGTCATTCCGCTTTGCGTAACCTGCCCCTCCCTTGTCCTCGCCCCCTCCCACCTCCAGCTGCATGGACGGGAAACGCTTCCTGGAGCTGGGGAAGGAGGAGGATTTGCACCTGGAACCGGAGCTGCTGGAAGGGGACACGGACGGGGGTCTCCCCAGCACGGAGGACGTCATCCTCAAGACCGAACAGGTCACCAAGAACATCCAGGAGCTTCTGAGGGCCGCCCAGGAGTTCAAACACGACAGGTCAGGAAGGAGCTTCCCGCAGCCCTTTTGGGGGGTGGGGTCCTTCAATGCGGGGGTTGATTGAGGAGATCTTGCTAGCCAAGGATGATGGTCTTGGGGAAGGAGCAAGGGGTGGGTGATGAGGAAGCTCAATTACTTCGAGAAAGTCAAAATTGGGGTGTGTGGAGTGCCTTTGCCAGTGCATACACTTTAATAAATCTCTTTAATTTGATCATAATTCATTTAAATTCGATTTCAGTTGTTAAGGGAATGCCTGATGCTTCCCAAATGATGCCTTGGCTGGGGGATTCTGGGAGTGGAAGTCCACCCCTCTTAAAGCATGCTGGCTGGGGGATTCTGGGAGTGGAAGTCCACCAATCATAAAGCATTGCTGGCTGGGGAATTCTGGGAGTGGAAGTCCACCCCTCTTAAAGCATGCTGGCTGGGGGATTCTGGGAGTGGAAGTCCACCAATCATAAAGCATTGCTGGCTGGGGAATTCTGGGAATGGAAGTCCACCCCTCTTAAAGCATTGCTGGCTGGGGAATTCTGGGAGTGGAAGTCCTCCCCTCTTAAAGCATTGCTGGCTGGGGGATTCTGGGAGTGGAAGTCCACCAATCATAAAGCATTGCTGGCTGGGGAATTCTGGGAGTGGAAGTCCACCCCTCTTAAAGCATGCTGGCTGGGGATTCTGGGAGTGGAAGTCCACCAATCATAAAGCATGGCTGGCTGGGGGATTCTGGGAATGGAAGTCCACCCCTCTTAAAGCATTGCTGGCTGGGGAATTCTGGGAGTGGAAGTCCACCCCTCTTAAAGCATTGCTGGCTGGGGAATTCTGGGAGTGGAAGTCCACCCCTCTTAAAGCATTGCTGGCTGGGGGATTCTGGGAGTGGAAGTCCACCAATCATAAAGCATTGCTGGCTGGGGAATTCTGGGAGTGGAAGTCCACCCCTCTTAAAGCATGCTGGCTGGGGGATTCTGGGAGTGGAAGTCCACCAATCATAAAGCATGGCTGGCTGGGGGATTCTGGGAGTTGAAATCCACGCCTCTTAAAGCATTGCTGGCTGGGGAATTCTGGGAGTGGAAGTCCTCCCCTCTTAAAGCATTGCTGGCTGGGGGATTCTGGGAGTGGAAGCCCACCCCTCTTAAAGCAGGCTGGCTGGGGGATTCTGGGAGTGGAAGTCCTCCCCTCTTAAAGCATGGCTGGCTGGGGGATTGTGGGAGTGGAAGTCCTCCCCTCTTAAAGCACACTGGCTGGGGAATTCTGGGAGTGGAAGTCCTCCCCTCTTAAAGCACACTGGCTGGGGAATTCTGGGAGTGGAAGCCCACCCCTCTTAAAGCAGGCTGGCTGGGGATTCTGGGAGTGGAAGTCCTCCCCTCTTAAAGCATGGCTGGCTGGGGGATTGTGGGAGTGGAAGTCCATCCCTCTTAAAGCATTGCTGGCTGGGGGATTCTGGGAGTGGAAGCCCACCCCTCTTAAAGCACACTGGCTGGGGGATTCTGGGAGTGGAAGCCCACCCCTCTTAAAGCACACTGGCTGGGGAATTCTGGGAGTGGAAGCCCACCCCTCTTAAAGCACACTGGCTGGGGGATTCTGGGAGTGGAAGCCCACCCCTCTTAAAGCACACTGGCTGGGGAATTCTGGGAGTGGAAGTCCACCTGTCTTAAAGCATGCCGGCTGGGGAGTTCTGGGAAACCACATATTTTTTTTGGGGGGGGGAGTAAGTTCTCATTTCAAACAGTCACTAAACAGTTGTAAGTCGAGAAGTATCTGTATTTGATGCCGAACCCCATTATCTGCAAAACATTGGGGTCCCCTCGCCATGTAGGACAACGGACTTCCAGCTCAGCTCATTCTGGATCTTACTCTCTCCCTGTTCCCCCCCAGCAGCTTCGTCCCCTGTTCGGAGAAAATCCATACGGCGGTCACGGAAATGGCGTCGCTTTTCCCCAAGGTAAGGGGGCGAGAGGTCATTGCCCACCCACTTGCATTCCGGCTAAGGTGGGGTGTGGATGACGTTCCACTACGAAAGACCCTTCCCTGGGGTCTCCCCTCCTAGCTGGCTGCATCTCAGCAATCCTCAGTAAATCTCAGGGATCTCCAACTTTTGGAGTAGAGATGGGAAAGCTTGGGAAAAAAAACTCCAGAAAAATTGGGGGAAAAAACAGGGTTTTTTCCTGTTTTTTCTGGTTTTTTCGAAAGCCAATGGCTTTTCGAAAAACCAAAAAACTAGTGTTCCCCCCCCAATTTTTCTGGGTTTTTTTTCCAGGTGTTCTTGGGAAGTTTACAACTTCTGGACTGCAACTCCCAGAATTCCCTAGCCAGCCAATTCTGGGAATTGAAATCCCCAGGACTCAAAGTTGCATGGCTGGCCGGGGAATTCTGGGAATTGAAGTCCCCAGGACTCAAAGTTGCATGGCTGGCCGGGGAATTCTGGGAATTGAAGTCCCCAGGACTCAAAGTTGCATGGCTGGCCGGGGAATTCTGGGAATTGAAGTCCCCAGGACTCAAAGTTGCATGGCTGGCGGGGAATTCTGGGAATTGAAGTCCCCAGGTCTCAAAGTTGCATGGCTGGCTGGGGAATTCTGGGAATTGAAGTCCCCAGGACTCAAAGTTGCATGGCTGGCTGGGGAATTCTGGGAATTGAAGTCCCCAGGACTCAAAGTTGCATGGCTGGCTGGGGAATTCTGGGAATTGAAGTCCCCAGGACTCAAAGTGCCCAAAGTTGAACATCTCTGATCAAAAGAAAAGGCAAGAGGATTAACACTTGTAGACTTCAACTCCCAGAATGCCGGCTGAGGAATTCTGGGAGTTGAAGTCCACAAGTTGCAAAATTGCCAAGGTTGGAGTCCGCTGCAGTAAAGGATGGGGGATCAGGAGGAGAATTTGCAGTGGCGCGAGAGAAGGGAAGGCGCTATTACAGAATCATGGGGGCTTCGAGTTGGGGGAATTGGAGCTGGATGGAGCAGCCCCTCCCCCCTAATCCACCCTATGCTGTAACATTTGCACTGGACGTAAAATGCACTGAGTTGTGCAAACACTTCGTATAAATTCACATTATTTGGGTCATCTGGTTATCAACTGAAAAGATGCCGAGGTTACCATATTGTCCTTACAGGTAGTCCTCGACTTGCAACCACAGTTGAGCCCCAAATTTCTGTCGCTAAGCGAGACAGTTAAGTTTTGCCCCATTTTACAACCTTTCCTGCCATGGTTGTTAAGTGAATCACTGCAGTTGTTAAGTGAGTCACACGGTCGTTAAGTGAATCTGGATTCCCCAGTTGACTTGGCGTGTCAGAAGGTCGCCAAAGGGGATCACGTCACCCCCGGGGGGACACTGCGACTGTCATAAATATGAGTCCGTTGCTGAGCATCTGAATTCTGATCACGTAACCACAGGGAGGCTGCAACGGTCGTAAGTGTGAAAAACGGTCCTAAGCCCCTTTTTTTTTCGTAACTTCAAACAGTCACTAAGTGAACTGTTGTAATTCGAGGACTAACTGTAAGATGCTTGCTGCCAAGAGCTTGAATTTTGACCTTGGGGATGCTCCAATGGTCGTTAAGTGCGAAAAACAGTCACGAGTCCCTTTTTTTAAGGGGAGGGGGGGGCATTGTAGCTTCGAACGGTCACTAAGTGAACCGTCGTAAGTGGAGGACTGCCTGTATTCTGGGCTTCTGACTCTCGGCGTCCCTCTCGCCCGCAGAAACCGGCCCTGGAGACGGTGCGCAGCTCCCTCCGCCTGCTCAACGCCAGCGCCTACCGGCTGCAGAGCGAATGCCGCAAGACGGTGCCGCCGGAGCCTGGCGCGCCCGTGGACTACCAACTCCTGACGCAGCAGGTCATCCAGTGCGCCTACGACATCGCCAAGGCCGCCAAGCAGCTGGTCACCATCACCACCCGGGAGAAGAAGCAGTGAGGGTGGGAGGGCCCCCCCTTCCTCGTCGTCTCCCCCCCCCCCAATCCCCCGGGGCCGGCTGCTATGCCCGCCCGGAAGTCTCCTTCCTCTGCTTGGCGCAACCCGGGCACCGATAAAAAGAGGAGGGGGAACAAGACAGGCGAGGGCAGCCTGGGCAGTCCAGAAACTGTTTGTGTAAATACCCCCTCCCTCTGTCTCCTCCCACCCCCCCCCCACAACCCACCCCGGGAAGGACCATCCGAGCGGCTCTCCCCCCATATATAGTGCGTGGATCTGTCCATCCGTATGCCCCCCCCCTTTCCCCATCCGTGCCCTCCTCTGTCTGTATAGAGAGAGACCAAGTGTATTTATCTGGCAAATCCCCCCTCCCCAATAGTGTTAACACTGGAATAGCGACGTCGAGGAGCCACTGAGATTGGAGCAGCCCCCCCCTCTGAAAAAAAAAATCTGGGCTCTTCTCCCCCTCTTCCTCTCCCCCGCCCCCCCACCGGAAGCAAAGACTAACCTCTCCTCTTTGCAATCCATATTATTTTTCTCCCCTCGTTTTTCTCGCTTCGTTCCTGCATCCTGCGGTTTTGCTGGCGGGGGACGAGAGCGGGGGGGGGGTATTGTGTGTGTGTATGTGTGTGTGTGTGTGTGTGTGTCTCCAGTCGGCCCCCCCCTCCTTCCCGAAAGCTGTGAAGCTGAGGCCAGTCGTGGAGATAGAGGTGGGGGGGGGGCAGGAGGGTACCCTGGGCACTGCGCTGGAATCTCTGGTTTCGAAATCTTGTACATTTGTAACAAATAAAAAGAGGATGCCAACGGCACCCGGGCGTGTGGCTTGGCAGGGGGCCGGATGGGCAGGGGTCTCGCCGTGCCCTGAGACATTTGGAGGGGGGCCTGGGGGGGGGCAGGGAACTCAGCCTTGGGGGGCTGTTGAGGGAGTCGGTCTGTTGCAGGGACCCAGGAGATGGGGAGGGGGGGTTAAGTGGGGTGATTATATTAATTCAATTTATATGCCGCCTTTCTCCGGAGAATCAGGGCGGCTAAAATTAAGATTGAATCCAAGGTGTGTCAACCCAGCTATAATATCCCTTGGTGCTCCCTGAGCTGCGTTGTTTTCTCGCAGACGTTTTAGGACCCAACTAGGTAACATCATCTGTGCTAAAAGTGTTAGACGACATAGATGATGTCAATGCATGGATGATGTTACTTAGTTGGGTCATGAAACGTCTGCAAGAAAACCCCACCAAGTTCCGAGATCACAAAGGACCCCCACAGTCCTCCTCCTCCTCCTCGCTTCTAACACTGATAATGTTACCTAGTTGGGTCATGAAACGCCTGCGAGAAAACCACCATGTTCAGAGAGCACCAGGGACCCCACAGTCCTCCTCCTCTCCGCAAACCCCCTTCCTTCTGGGACTGATGATGTTCCCTAGTTGGGTCATGAAACGTCTGCAAAAAAACCGCACCAAGTTCCGAGATCACAAAGGACCCCCACAGTCCTCCTCCTCGCTTTTAACACTGATAATGTTACCTAGTTGGGTCATGAAACGTCTGCGAGGAAACCCACCGCAAGCTCAGAGAGCACCAGAGAGCCCACAGTTTCTTTCCTTCTCCATCTCCTCCCCCTCCTGGGAAACCCCACTCCCTTGTAGCTCTGATGATACTACCTAGTTGGGTAATAAAACGTCTCCCAAGAAAACCACCGAGCTCGAGAGAGTAACGGGAACCCCTCATTTCAACCTTGAGCTACAAATATTCTCCTTTATCGGTGAGGAGCTGCCAGGTTCACACCATAATTTTCTCTGTTGTGGCGAGCCAACCTTTGTCTTGACCAGGGCGGTTAAAAAAGGTTGAGATGTGAATTCTGCATTTTGGATTTTTTTGGTGCCCTCCCCCACGCATGGAAGAGACTGACCCAGGGAGGGGACTTGAACTCAGCACTCTGGAGTTCCACCCGTCACCTACCCAGTGTATGGACTTCCACTCCCAGAATCCCTAGTTCCCAGCCAGAGGGGATTCTGGGAGTTGAAGTCCCGACGTGCAAAAGATGCCACGGATGAGGGACGTTGAATTCAATCATCCATAAGAGACACAAGGAACCCTCGACTTATGACAACTGGGGCTCGAGTTTCCGTTGCTAAGCAAGGTTGAGGGCGTTCCCCAATTTTGCAATTTATTTTTTGCCATCTCTGGAGGTTTTTAAGAAGATACTGGAGAGCTATTTGTCTGGAATGGTATATAAAGTCTTCTGCTTGAGTAGGGGGTTGGACTAGAGCAGGGGTCTCCAACCTTAGTAACTTTAAGACTTGTGGACTTCAACTCCCAGAATTCCTCAGCCAGCAAAGCCGGCTGAGGAACTCTGGGAGTTGAAGGCCGCAAGTCTTCAAGCAAAGCCGGCTGAGGAATTCTGGGACTTGAAGGCCGCAAGTCTTCAAGCAAAGCCGGCTGAGGAATTCTGGGACTTGAAGGCCACAAGTCTTCAAGCAAAGCCGGCTGAGGAATTCTGGGAGTTGAAGGCCACAAGTCTTCAAGCAAAGCCGGCTGAGGGATTCTGGGAGTTGAAGGCCACAAGTCTTCAAGCAAAGCCGGCTGAGGGATTCTGGGAGTTGAAGGCCGCAAGTCTTCAAGCAAAGCCGGCTGAGGAATTCTGGGACTTGAAGGCCGCAAGTCTTCAAGCAAAGCCGGCTGAGGAATTCTGGGAGTTGAAGGCCGCAAGTCTTCAAGCAAAGCCGGCTGAGGAATTCTGGGACTTGAAGGCCGCAAGTCTTCAAGCAAAGCCGGCTGAGGAATTCTGGGACTTGAAGGCCGCAAGTCTTCAAGCAAAGCCGGCTGAGGAATTCTGGGACTTGAAGGCCACAAGTCTTCAAGCAAAGCCGGCTGAGGGATTCTGGGAGTTGAAGGCCACAAGTCTTCAAGCAAAGCCAGCTGGGGAATTCTGGGAGTTGAAGGCCACAAGTCTTCAAGCAAAGCCAGCTGAGGAATTCTGGGAATTGAAGGCCACAAGTCTTAAAGTTACTAAGGTTCGAGATCCCTGGACTAGAAGACCTGTTGTTCTGTGTTCTCAATCGCTGCAGTTGTTAAAGTGAATCATACGGTCGTTAAGCAAATCGGCTTCCCCCGCTGACTTTGGCTGTCGGTATCCAGCCAGGAAGCTTGCAAGCAATGGTCAGATGTTTGCTTTAACCAGGATGCTTTAACCATCATTAATACATGCGGGTTGCCAAGCACCCGAATTTAGATCGTATGATTGTGGGAATGCTGCAACGGTCATAAGTGCGAGGAGTCAGATATTTAGTGCCGTTGTAACTTTGAACAGGGAGCTAAAGAACGGTCGTAAGTCAGGGTCTACCTGTATAGTGTGTTCCTTTCCATGCCGTCTTTCACATCGCAACAATTTGCCCATAATAATATAAGGTCTCCTTCCTTGAGCAGGGGGTTGGTCTAGAAGACCTCGGAGGTCCCTTCAAGCTCTAGGATTCTATGCAGCAGATAAAAACACGGTTTGACGTGAACTCAGAGTCTTTGGGTGGAACCCGGTGCCAGTGTGAGCAGGGTGCAAAGAACGGGTGTGATGCTTCGGGTAGCTGTATGTAGGAAAATATATTTTATTGAGTAAGAAAAACAAATGCAGCGGTCAAGGCCGGAGCCCCTCCCTCCTTGGACGGTGGGCTTTGGGCTGGTGGCCCCTCCAAACAGGCCGTGCCGGGCGAGGCCTTCAGGCGGAGCTGTCGTCCTCGCTGGAGGAGCTGGGCAGGAGCAGCCGCGGTGGCTGCCGTGGGCGCTTGGTCCGTCTGGGCCGCGAGAAGAGACGGCGTTTCATGACGGCTGCAGGAGGGAAGGAGGGAGGGAGGAATAGGAGGAAGGGAATAAGAGAAGAAGGGGAGAGAGGGAGGGAGGGAGACGGGAAGAAGGAAGAGAATAAGGGAAGGGAAGGAGGGAGAGAGGAAGGAAGGGAGATGGAAAGAAGGAAGAATAAGGGAAGGAGAGAAAGGAAGGGACGAAGAGATGGGAAGAAGGAAGAGAATAGGAAAGGAAGGGAAGGGAAGGAGGGGAAGGGAGGGAGATGGGAAGGAAGAATAAGAAGGGAGGGAGAGAGGGAGGGGGGAGATGGGAAGAAGGAAGAATAAGAAGAAGGGAAGGAGAGAAAGGAAGGGTGGGAGGGAGATGGGAAGAAGGAAGAGAATAGGAAGGGAAGGGAAGGAGAGGGGAAGGGAGGGAGGGAGATGGGAAGGAAGGGATGGAGAGAGGGAGGGGGGAGATGGGAAGAAGGAAGAATAAGAAGAAGGGAAGGAGGGAGGGAGGGAGATGGGAAGAAGGAAGAATAAGGGAAGGAGAGGGAGGGAGAGATGGGAAGTAGGAAGGGAAGGGAAGGGGAAGGAAGAGGGAGATGGGAAGAATAAGAAGAAGGGAAGGAGAGAAAGGGAGGGAGGGAGATGGGAAGAAGGAAGAAAATGGGAAGGGAAGGAGGGAATGAGGAAAGAAGGGAGGGAGATGGGAAGGAAGAGAATAAGGGAAGGAAGGGAGGAAGGAAAAAGGAAGGAGAGAAAAGGGAAAAAGTAAGGAAGAGGAAAAGAAAGAGGAAAGGAGAGAGGAAAGAAGACGGGAGGAAGGAAGGAAGGGAAAATGGAGAGGAATGGGAAGGAAGAAGGATGTAAAGAAGGAAGAAAAGAGGGAGGGAGATGGCATCAGAGGGTGGCACCAACTGGCACCAGCCATCATAATCTGCCCTCAGAGGGCAGCAGATCCTGGAAAGCCAAGATTGCTGCCAGCATGTATTGGAAGACACCCCCCCCCCCAGTTGGGGCAGGTCTGCCATGGGGCTGAGGTTACTAACTGGCTGCCTATCAAGAAATCACTTTCGGGGGGGTGGTGGAGGGGAATTCTGGGAGTTTGGAAAACGGCACCTCTTAAAGCAGAGCTCTCCAACCTTGGCAACTGAGGAATTCTGGGAGTTGAAGTCCACAAGTCTTAAAGCTGCCAAGGTTGAGGAAGGCTGCTCCAGAGGCCGGTTGGCATCTGCCTTGGCGATCAAACTCTGCCCTGTTTTTACTTTGCCATTTTTGCTAAATATTAGCAGTCCTCAACTTACAACCTCAGCTGAGACTTTCCGTCGCCAATCAAAGCGATTGCTGAGTTGCATCCAATTTTACAATTTTACACTGCCCTTGCTAAGCAACTCACGTGGTCATTAAGAATGCACTGTGGTCGTAAGTTGAGGACTCGCTGTATTCGGCAACTGCGCCCCAAATTGGGTGCATCTGCCCCCCCCCCACCCCCCACCCTAAGACCACTGGTCCCATGGCCTGCACTTACCGGCCACCGTCTCGCGCCCCTCCTCGCTGCTGGTCATCCAGTAAAGACTCGGCCCGCGTCGGCACTTCCGATGCAGACGGGTGTAGAGCACGGCCAGGGTCAACAGCACCAGCAAGAAGGTCAGGGCACTGGCAGCCCAGGCTGCTTCCTCCGTGCGGGGAGTGGGCACACGGAGACCCCCCTGCCGAGCCTCCATTTCCTGGACCATCACTGTAGCCTGCTGGCTGTCCGGGCACCGGCACCCGGCCTCGTGGGCTGCCCCGACCTTCGTGGCCGTGCTGGACAGAGTTGGTTGCACGCCTCGCTTGGTGGCATGGTGATGCCCGGGTACCATGTTGGCAGCCCCCAAATGATTTGGGAGGGTCCTTTGGGCCCGGTCAGCTGGCTTCCAAGGGTCCTTCTCTTCCCTAAAGGTGGGCTGAGCTAGAGTCAAGCGGCTTTGGTCCTCCTGGGCATGGCCGTCCTTTGCTGCCAGTCTCTTGGTGCCACTCGGGGCAGGGTGAGGGAGGAAAATGGCCCTCCTTTGCCTGCCGTGTGCCCAAAATTGCTGGAAAATTGGCAGCTTCTCCCAGAGGTTTAACAGCTTCTGGAGGGACTGGAAATTTGAAGGATTTGGGGGAAAAAATAGCAGATTGAGCTACATCCTTGACTTACGACCACAGACTTTCTGAGCCAAACTTTTCTGTCGTTAAGCGAAACATTTAAGTTCATTTTGCCCCACTTTACAACCTTTCTGTCCACTGTTGTTAAGTAAGCCACTGCTGTGGTTAGTAGCACATACAACCAAAATGGAGGCCAAAATTCCTGTTGTTAAGTGAGGCACTGGTTAAGTGAGTCCTGCCCCATTTTACGACCTTTCTGGCCACAGTCGTTGAGTGAATCCCTGCAGTTGATAAGTGAGTAACCTGTGAATCTGTCTTCCCCCATGGACTTTGGTTGTCAGAAGGTCGCGACCCCCAGGACTCTGCGACTGTCATAACTATGAGCCAGCTGCCAGATTTTGATCACATGACCGTGGGGGATGCTGCTGCGGTCGTTAAGTGTGAAAAACAGTCACAAGTAGTTTTTTTTTTCAGGGCCACTATAACTTTGGACGGTCACTAAACGAACGGTCGTAAGGCGAGGACCACCTGCAAACATTCGTGGTGAATGTAATGAAAGGAATGTAATTCCTTTCTTAAGTGATTTTTCCTGCTCTGCATTCCAAAGCCTGCCTTTTCCTAGAGCAAACTCAGCCCTCTTCCTTCTTGACCTCCTGGCCTGACCCCCCCAACCCGCCCCTCCCCTATTTTACCTGCTGCGCTGGGCACGCATCTCTGCCCGTCCCCTTCTGCGGCCACCGACGACGGAGGTGGGTCTCCAACCCAGAGGCAGCGAAGGCCACATCGACTTTGGCCGTGTGGGAGGTGGAGCCCCGGGGGATCCAGGCGAGGGGCTGGAAGAGAGAGGATGGCGGAAATAGGGGGTCACCCATTCCTGTCCCCCAAGGTCTCAATGACAGGAGCCCTCGCTCACACTCTGGGGAGGGGGACGACGGGCCCTAGCAGGAAGAATCGGGTGAGGAAGATTTAGAATGAGGTGGGGGGGAGCAGAAGGGTGATGGGAGTTGGTTACTTTGGAAAGACCCCCCCCCCCGGCCGTTTGGGTACAAGACCAGCGGAAACTGCCATCTCTATGGTTGAAGCGGGGTGGTCAAAGAGCCAGATGAAGATAGAAAGTTGGAGAAAGAGAAAGAAATATGGAGAGATGGAGAGAGAGAAAGATGGAGAGAGAAAGTAAAAGAGGGAGAGAGAAAGGTGGAAGAGAGAGAAAGATGGAGAGAGATGGAGAGAAAGATGGAGGAAGATGGAGAAAGAAAAAGATGGAGAGAGATAAAGAGATGGAGAGAGAGAAAGATGGAGAGAGAAAGAAAAAGATGGGGAGAGAGAAAGACGGAGAAAGTAAAAGAGGGAGAGAGAAAGATGGAGATAAAGAGATGGAGAGAGAGAAAGAGGTGGAGAGAAAGATAGAGATGGAGAAAGAAAGAAAGATGGAGAGAGACAGATGGAGAGAGAAAAAGATGGAGAGAGAAAGAAAAAGATGGGGAGAGAGAAAAATGGAAGAGAGAAAGATGGAGAGAGAAAAAGATGGAGAGAGAAAAAAAAGATGGGGAGAGAGAAAAATGGAAGAGAGAAAGATGGAGAGAGAAAAAGATGGAGAGAGAGGGAGAGAAGAAGAAGAAAAGGTGGAGGAGGAGGAGAAGAGGAAGAAGAAGAGGAGGAGGAGGAAGAAGAGGAAGAAGAAGACACCCCAAATTTGCTTATTCCAGAAGGTACCGTATTTTCCGGCGTATAAGACGACCCCCGACTTTTCCTGTTAAAATATAGGGTTTGGGCTATACTCGCCGTATAGGACTACCCCTCTTCCAACGCACACCAGATAAAAATTAAAAAACATCAACTGGCTCACCCACAATGGCCCCTGCAACAAGCAGGAACCTCACACAGCCACAAAAAGCCACAAAACCCAACTTTACACACACAAAATTCCACATACAGCTTTGTGAGATTTTTTTTGTGCTTGTGTAGTTAGAGTGAAACACTACAGAAACACACTAAATCTCAGAAAGCTACACAAATATTATTTTATTTTATTTTTATTTTTATATGAAAGCTAAATTTAAAACTTCCTAAACTTTAAATGGCTAGGTCTAAAAAAGAACAAGTAAAAAAAAACCCCAACTAACTTTTTTTTAAAGCTCCCAAAGGGGAAAAAAAACTTACCCAATAGAACAGGGGTCTCCAACCTTGGCAACTTTAAGACTCGTAGACTTCAACTCCCAGAATTCCTCAGCCAGCTTTGCTTTGCTGGCTGAGGAATTCTGGGGGTTGAAGTCCTCCTTGATTGCAGGCAGGGAGTGGCTTGCTGATGGAATGGATTGCAGGCAAGGGAAGCAAGGCAAGCGTTGCGACTAGCAGCTAAGGCAAGCAAGCTGGAGGGAGAAAACTTTTTTTCTTTTACATGGCTCTGGCGATCCCAGTTGAGTTGCCTGATTATTTATTTATTTATTAGATTTTTATACCGCCCCCTCTCCGAAGGACTCGGGGCGGTGAACAGCCAAAGTTAAAAACATACAATATAAACAATTAAAATACGTTTAAAACAGAATTAAATCTAAAATGGCTCCCCAAATTAAAATGCCTTACCCATACCCCTATAAAAAGATGAATTTAAAATTTAAAAATTTAAATTTCCACATTTAAAAAGGGGGAAGATTTAGGCCAGGCCAGCTTGATAAAATAGAAAAGTCTTAAGCGCGCGGCGGAAGGTGCGCAGATCCGGGATCCTACGTATCTCCGGGGGGAGCTCGTTCCAGATGGTAGGTGCCCCCACAGAGAAGGCTCTCCCCCTGGGGCCGACAGCCGACATTGTTTGGCTGACAGCACCCGGAGGAGCCCCTCTCTATGGGAGCGTACTGGCCGGTGGGAGGCTATTGGTGGTAGCAGGCGGTCCCGTAAATAACCAGGTCCTAAGCCATGGAGCGCTTTGAAGGTGATAACCAGAACCTTGAAGCGCACTCGGAGACCACCGGGAGCCAGTGCAGCTCGCGCAGGAGAGGTGTCACATGGGAACTCCATGTCGCTCCCATCACCACCCGCGTGGCCGCACTCTGCACCAGTTGGAGCCTCCGGGTGCACCTCAGGGGGAGCCCCATGTAGAGAGCGTTGCAGTAATCCAGACGAGAAGTAACAAGGGCATGAGTGACTGTGTGTAGGGAGTCCCAATCTAGATAGGGATGCAACTGGCGGATCAGGCGAACCTGATGAAAAATCCTCCCGGACACGGCCGTCACATGCTCTTCTAACGACAGCCGTGAATCCAGGAGGACACCCAAGTTGCGAGCCCCATCCGTGGGGGCCAATGATTCGCCCCCAATAGCCAGCGATGGCACTAGCTGACTATATCGGGACGTCGGAAACCACAGCCACTCGGTCTTGGATGGGTTGAGCCTGAGCCTGTTCCTCCCCATCCAGATCCGTACGGCCTCCAGGCACTGGGACATCACTTCAAGGGCATCGTTGGGGTGGTCCGGGGTGGAGATGTACAGCTGGGTGTCATCTGCGTACTGATGGTACTTCACCCCAAAACCACGGATGATCTCGCCCAGCGGCTTTACATAAATGTTGAACAAAAGGGGCGAGAGGATCGATCCCTGCGGCAGCCCACATATGAGGGGCCTCGGGGTCGACCTCTGCCCCCCTGTCAACACAGACTGCGACCGGTCGGAGAGAAAGGAGGAGAACCACCTTAGTACGGTGCCTCCCACCCCCAACTCTTCCAACCGGTGCAGCATGATACCATGGTCGATGGTATCAAAAGCCGCTGAGAGGTCTAACAGGACCAGGACAGAGGAGCAGCCCCTGTCCCGAGCCCTCCAGAGATCATCAACCAACGCGACCAATGCCGTTTCCGTGCTGTATCCAGGCCTGAAACCCGACTGGAACGGATCCAGATACGACGCTTCATCCAGGTACTGGGGAAGCTGTCCCGCAACCACACTCTCAACAACCTTCGCCACAAAACGAAGGTTGGAGACTGGACGATAATTAGCCAATATTGCTGGGTCCAGGGAAGGCTTCTTGAGGAGGGGCCTCACCACCGCCTCCTTAAGGGCGGCGGGGAAGACACCCTCACCCAATGAAGCATTTATAATCCCCTGGAGCCAGCCTCGCGTCACCTCCCGGGAAGCCAGCACTAACCAGGAGGGACACGGGTCCAACAAACATGTGGTCGCGTTCAATCTACCCAGAATCCTGTCCACGTCATCTGGGGTCACAGGATCAAACTCATCCCAGATAACAGTCTCAAGACCTGTCTCCGTCACTCTCGCTGGATCTACCCAGTCGGAGTCCAGACCTGTCCGAATCTGAGTGATTTTGTCATACAGATACTGAACAAAATCCTCGGCTCTACCCTCCAAGGGATCTCCCGCGCTTCCTGGTGGAGCAGGGAGCGGGTCACCCTAAACAGGGCGGCCGGGCGATTATCTGATGACGCAATAAGAGCAGCAAAATGCGTACATCTCTACCACATCCATCTTTTCTGATATTTCTGGGAGCTTTGGCAAGTTGTTTAGCAGATCGTCAGGGCTTGGATCGCCAGAGCCTTTCGGGCTGGTCTGCCTGGTTACAGGAGAACGACCCCCGGCGTATAAGACGACCCCCGACTTTTGAGAAGATTTTCATGTGTTAAAAAGTCGTCTTATACACCGGAAAATATGGTAACTGGACATTCTTCATTTTTTTTTCTTTGAAAACATTTCCTGCCTAATCTTCATTCCTCTTACTTCCGTGTTTCCTCTCACTTCTCTAAGCAGGGCCTCTAAAGTTAATACAAATAGCAATGGGGAAAGGGGACATCCCTGTCTTGTACCTCTACGAATTTGAATTCTCTCCGTCTCCTCTCCATCTATGAGAACTCTTGCAGTCTGCTCCCGGTAGATAGCTCGAATTGCCCGAATAAAATTCCCACCAAACTCCATATATTCCAATTGAGAAATCATAAATTCCCAACTGATTCTGTCAAACGCCTTTTGGGCGTCAACAAAAATTAAAGCTAATTGTTTATCCGGGCGATTTTTGAAAAATTCTAATGTATTCATGATAATTCTAAGATTATCTCGTAGATATCTATTAGGAAGGAAGCCGTTTTGGTCTGAGTGAATGAATTGGTTAAGGAAGCAGCTAAGCCTAGCTGCAAGAACCCCCGCAAATATCTTATAATCAGAGTTCAGTAATGATATTGGTCTATAGTTCTTAATAAGAGATAGATCAGTTCCTTCTTTTGGGATAATAGAAATATAAGCCTCAGTCCAAGATACTGGAACCTGAGCCTCTTTCATAACCGCATTGAATAAATCCGTCATGTGTCTTCCTATCACGTCAAACACTATTTTGTATAATTCAACTGGAAGGTTATCTCTACCCGGGGTTTTGCCATTCGCCTGTGCTTTCATAACTGTTTCTACTTCCTCCATTGTAAATTCCGCATTAAGAATTTCCTTCATTGCTTCCGAGACTTTAGGCAAGTCTGTCTTTTCCAAATATTTTCGAATTTCACAGATATTTTCCTCTCCTTTCTGATAAAGCTGTGTGAAAAAATCCTGAGCTACCATTCTCTTGCCTTCCTTAGTACAATGGAAATTCCCAATTACATCTTTCAGCCCTTCTATTCTCCGTTGTTCCTGCTCCTTTCTAAGCCGGTAAGCCAACCATTTTCCTGTTTTATTCGCCCTTCCAAAAAATTTTTGTTTAGTCCACTTTAGTTTATTTGCTAATTCCTCTTGATCTAATAATTTAATCTGGTGTTGCCAGTACTCCCTTTCCTCTATCAATGTTGTCTGGGTTAATCCATTTTGCATCCTTTCTTCCACCCGTTGTAATTTATTCAAGAGGTTGTCTCGGTGTTTCTTACCCGCCCTATGTTTGTCAATCATATATTTGATTAACCATCCCCTCATCACTGCCTTAACCGTATCCCATGTATTGTATATCATCCTTCTATTATTCCTGATTTGCCTCCCAGGGAGGAATCCATTTTGATCACTGTGTATTAATTTATTCAAAATTATTTTTAGCCTTCCTGCTAAGATGCCCATATAAATTTTGTAGTCCGTATTCAGGAGGGAGATCGGTCTATAATTTTTAATTAATTTTGGATCCTCTCCTTCTTTTTGGAGGAGTGTAATATACGCCTCTCTCCAGGATTCTGGAATTTTGGATTCTGTTAGGGCCTCATTATAAATTTCTAACAGCTTTGGTAATAGAATTTCCTCCAGATCTGAATTTTTATAGAATTCTCCTGGGAGTCCATCTGGGCCTGGGGATTTATTCTTTTTGAGTTTAGATATTACCATCTTTAATTCTATCATCGTTATTTCCTTATTAAGTATTTCTTTATCCTCTTCGGGGGGGGTCACGGGATCCTCTTTTGCGACCTTCTGACAAGCCAAGTCAACGGGGAAGCCAGATTCGCTTAACAACCGTGTCACTAACTTAACAACCGCAGTGATTCGCTTAACAGTGGCAAGCAAGGTCGTAAAACGGGGCAAAGCTCAGTTAACGGCCGTCTCGCTTAGCGACGGGCATTTTGGGCTGAGTTACGGTGACAGTTTGAAAAACTTGCAGGTTTGACAAGACCCTTCAGCAGAGAAGAAGAATTCTGTGAGACCCAAAGGATCACAACACCCAGTGTTATGAAATGGAGGAGAACGCAACCCTGCGTCCGGGAGTCCTCGTAGTTGTGACAATTCACCTGTCGCCAGGAAGGTTCTGATCAGGAAACCTCTCTGGTCCATGAAGGCAGCCTTGTTCTCCTGCAAAAAAGGGGAAAACAGTGGCTGAGCACCCCCAAAAATTTCCTCTTTTACCATCTGCACCCCTGCAGCTGCTGTGGGTGCTGAGGCTGCCTGCCCCACTTGGGTTGGGCCTCGGGGAGACCCGCTGAGGATGTGGGTCAGAAAAGTTCCGAGACCCCCCTTTGACACACGTCAAAAGG